GCGGGCGAGGCGAAGCTGCGTGGGCGGGCGAGAAGAAAGTTTCCTCCAGCTGAGGCGCGGCTGGACCAAATGATTCCTTTCCGGGGGCCCGTGACCGGTGTCCCGCCGGCGTCCCGCCGGTGTCTTGTCGGTGTCCCGATGATGCTGGTGATGATGATGATGATGATGATGATGATGATGCCGATGATGATGATGATGATGATGATGATGATGATGATGATGATGATGATGATGATGATGATGATGGTGGTCATGATCATGGTGTCCCGATGATGATGATGATGATGATGATGATGATGATGATGTCGATGATGTTGATGATGATGATGTTGATAATGATGATGATGGTGATGATGATGATGGTGGTGGTGTTCCGACGATGATGGTGATGATGATGATGATGTTGACGATGTTGATGATGATATTTACGATGTTGATGATGATGCTGATGGTGATGGTGATGGCCATGGTGGTGATGATGACGGTGTCCCGATGATGATGATGATGATGATGCTGATGATGATGATGATGATGCTGATGTTGCCGATGATGATGATGATGATTATGATGATGATGATGATGATGATGATGATGATGATGATGATGATGATGATGATGGTGTCCCGATGATGATGATGATGTTGATGATCCTGATGATGTTGATGCTGATGCGGTGATGAGACGATGATGATGATTACGATGATGGTGTCCCGATGATGATGGTGATGATGATGATGTTGATGATGATGATGGTGATGATGATGGTGTCCCGATGATATTGATGATGTTGATGATGATGACGATGATGGTGTCGCGATGTTGATGATGTTGACGATGAGGACGATGATGAGGTGATGATGAGGATTTTGATGATGATGGCCCGATGATGATGATGATGATGATGATGATGCTGATGCTGATGCTGATGCTGATGCTGATGCTGATGTTGATGATGATGGTGTCCCGATGATGATGATGATGATTGTGATGGTGCTGCTGGTGACGATGATGATGGTGTCCCGATGATGATGTTGATGATGATGTTGCTGATGATGATGATGGTCTCCCGATGATAATGATGTTGCTGATGATGTTTGTCATGATGATGAGATGATGATGGTGGTGTTCCGATGCTGATGATGATGATGGTGCCCCGATGATGATGATGTTGATGATGATGATGATGGTGGTGACGATGGTGGCCCGATGATGATGGTGGTGATGCTGATGATGGTGATGGTGATGAGGTGATGATGATGGTGTCCCGATGATGCTGATGATGTTGATGACGTTGATGACGATGATGATGATGATGATGATGATGATGATGATGATGATGATGATGATGATGATGATGATGATGATGATGATGATGATGATGATGACGTTGATTGTGAGATCGATTTTGAGATCGATATTGAGATCGATAGTGATATCGATCGTGAGATCGATTGTGAGATCCTTCGAATGAAATAGATCGAGTGATGCCGATTGTGAGATCGATCGGGTGAGATCGATCGAGCGAGACCGATGGTGAGATCGACAGTGAGATCGATAGTGAGACCGATCGAGTGAGACGTTGGTTCCTCCCTCCGCCCCCGAACCTCCTTATCACCCGAAGGGTGGTCGTATAGGTATGTATTACGCAGCGCGCAGCCTTGCTGATGCAGCACACTTTCCCATCCCAAGTCCCCTCCTCATGAGTCAATCCAGGCATTTCCGTGCACTGCTGAGAACGGGCGCCCGCTGGAAAGGATGCGTTGGGGGGAGGCGAAGCTGGGTGGGCGCATGCGCGAAGCGAAGATGCTCCACAGCTAGGGCCACGTCAGACCCCCCAACAAGAGGCTAGCGTCCTAGCCCCGCGGTGGCCGAGGGAGTGTCCCGTGGCCGTTTTGTGGTTGTGTTTGGTCGTTGCGCGGTTGGCCTGTGGCCGTCACGTGGCTGTCCTTTGGTTGCCTACTAGTTGTGGTGGGAAGATCGTTGGACAAAGGAGCCCCGTCCACGCCCTCGTCCTCTTCCTCCTCCTCTTCCTCCTCCTCCCGCATTCTCCTTCTCCTTCTCCTCGCCCGACCCACGCGCATATTTTCGTGACAGTATACACAGCGCTAATTTCTAAGTATTCGGAATTTCTTTAGTTTTTGTTGGGGCCAAGGTCCTTTCATTTCTAATTCTTCACGCTTCGCGTATCCCCACCAGCCCATCTCAAAACAGCAACTCTAGCGAAGCATGCCGACAGTCGTGTTTTTCAGGCGTGTTTCCGCCTGCCCCCGCATATCTCCCCTGTTCCTCCTTCCTCCCGCCTCCTTGTACATCCTCCTTGTGGTGGGAGCGGGAGAAGGACGAGGCGGAGGAGGAGGGAGAGAAAGCGCTCCTCGTGGTTTGAGTCGTTCGGGTTTCTCGTCCTGGTGTGAGTCGTTCGGGCCCTTCTTCCTGGTGTGAGTCGTTCGGGCTCTTCGTGGTGTGAGTCGTTCGGGCTCTTCGTCCTGGTGTGAGTCGTTCGGGCTTCTCGTGGTGTGAGTTGTTCGGGCCCCTCGTCCTGGTGTGAGTCGTTCGGGCCCCTCCTCCTGCCCGTCCAGAAACGACGCCCAGGCGAGTAGAGGGTCGTCCTGATAGGCTTTTCTGCGTCTTGGGTGCCTCGGGGGGGCCTCTTTGGGCCGTTTGGGATCCTCTTGGGGGCCTCCTGGGGGCCTCTTGGGGCCATCTTGGGGCCTTTTGGTGCCTCCTGGGCGCTTCTTGGGGCCATCTTGGAGGCAATCGATCAAAGAAGAGGGGAGCTTTAATTAGCGCTGCCCCCTCAGAAGGCCAACATGGGGCCAAAACCTTAGTAAGATCAATGATTTTGGCTTGAAAGAAGAGGTGAGCTTTAATTAGCGCTGCCCCCTCAGAAGGCCAAAATGGGGCCAAAACTGTAGTGCTTCAAAGAAGAGGGGCGCATGTTTCTGCCTCCCCCCTGTCGGGGCCAGAATCCTCGTGAGCGGTGTCGTTTTTTAGCCCTCCCAGGAGTCGAAAAAGACCCCTCCAACCACCCGCGGGGCGCCCTCTCCAGGCCCAGGGGGAGGGGGTAGGGGGAGGGGTAAACCCCTCCCCGAAGGGGAAGAACGGGGGTTGAGAACAGAGAGAGCTCTCTAAACCACTCACGCCCCAAGGGCTGGTGGGATAGTAGTAGTAGTAGTAGTAGTAGTAGTAGTAGTAGTAGTAGTAGTAGTAGTAGTAGTAGTAGTAGTAGTAGTAGTAGTAGTAGTAGTAGTAGTAGTAGTAGTAGTAGTAGTAGTAGTAGTAGTAGTAGTAGTAGTAGTAGTAGTAGTAGTAGTAGTAGTAGTAGTAGTAGTAGTAGTAGTAGTAGTAGTAGTCGTTGTAGTAGTAGTAGTAGTAGTAGTAGTAGTAGTAGTCGTCGTAGTAGTCGTCGTAGTAGTCGTAGCAGTAGTAGTAGCAGTAGTAGTGATGGTAGTCGTAGTAGTAGTAGTGGTAGTAGTCGTGGTAGTAGCAGTCATATGACTAGTAGTAGTAACAGAAGTAGTAGTCGTAGATGATGTGGTAGTAGTAGAAACAGTAGTAGTAGTAGTAGTAGTAGTAGTAGTAGTAGTAGTAGTAGTAGTAGTAGTAGTAGTAGTAGTAGTAGTAGTAGTAGTAGTAGTAGTAGTAGTAGTAGTAGTAGTAGTAGTAGTAGTAGTAGTAGTAGTAGTAGTATAGTAGTAGTAGTAGTAGTAGTAGTAGTAGTAGTAGTAGTAGTAGTAGTAGTAGTAGTAGTAGTAGTAGTAGTAGTAGTAGTAGTAGTAGTAGTAGTAGTAGTAGTAGTAGTAGTAGTAGTAGTAGTAGTAGCAAGTAGTAGTAGTAGTAGTAGTAGTAGTAGTAGTAGTAGTAGTAGTAGTAGTAGTAGTAGTAGTAGTAGTAGTAGTAGTAGTAGTAGTAGTAGTAGTAGTAGTAGTAGTAGTAGTAGTAGTAGTAGTAGTAGTAGTAGAGTAGTAGTAGTAGTAGTAGTAGTAGTAGTAGTAGTAGTAGTAGTAATAGTAGTAGTAGTAGTAGTAGTAGTAGTAGTAGTAGTAGTAGTAGTAGTAGTAGTAGTAGTAGTAGTAGTAGTAGTAGTAGTAGTAGTAGTAGTAGTAGTAGTAGTAGTAGTAGTAGTAGTAGTAGTAGTAGTAGTAGTAGTCGTAGTAGTAGTAGTAGTAGTAGTAGTAGTAGTAGTAGTAGTAGTAGTAGTAGTAGTAGTAGTAGTAGTAGTAGTAGTAGTAGAGTAGTGTCTTTGCGGAGCCTCTTGGAGACCTTTTGGGGCCTCTTGGGGGCCTCTTGGCGGCCCCAGGGGCTTCGAGAAGCGTCTTGGGTGCCTTGGGGGAGCCTCTTCGGGCTTCTTGGGAGCCTCTTGGAGGCCGTTTGGGGCGTCTTGGGGGCCTCTCGGCGGCCCCAGGGGCTTCCAGGAGCGTCTTGGGTGCCTCGGGGGAGCCTCTTGGGGCCTCTTGGGAGCCTCTTGGGGGCCTCTTGGGGGCCTCTTGGAGGCCTCTTGGGGCCTCTTGGGGCTCTTTGGGAGGGGTCTGGGAGGTATCTTGGGGCCATCTTTCGGGCGATCGATCACAGATGGGGCGGGTTTTTTCTCCCCCCCCCCGTCGGGGCCAGAATCCTCGTGAGGGGTGTCGTTTTTTAGCCCTCCCAGGAGTCGAAAAAGACCCCTCCAACCACCCGCGAAAGGACCTCTCCAGGTCCAGGGGGAGGGGGTAGGGGGAGGGGTAAACCCCTCCCCGAAGGGGAAGAAGGGGGTTGAGAACAGAGCGGGCTCTCTAAACCACTCACGCCCAAAGGGCTGGTGGGATTGTTCTTTCCTGGGCCTCTTCCTGGCCACTAGGGGGCCAGGAACAATTATAAACGAGCACAATTAGACATGAGCACGATTAGAAGTGAACGACGTGTACATGGAGGCCATGGCCACGACCGCCCGGCCTTCGATAAGATGGGCCTGAGGGTGCTCCGCAAAGGTGGCTCGCTCTCCCGCTCCTCCTCGCCCGCCCCAGGAGAGCCGACAGCTCGTCGTCTGGGAGGTGACGCTCGCTGGGCGTTCGGGACATCTTCGGCCGCCCCCGCAGCAGCAGGCCAGCTGCGGCGCGGTTGCATCAGGCTGGAAGGGCGCGGGGTCCCGCCGGGCGAGGATTCGGGGCGCACGTGGCGGGAGTCTGTCGGAATGTGCCGAGCGCAATGAGTGGTCGGGGAAAGGCAGGTTACCCATCTCCTTTCCGCTCAAGTTTCATGGTCGTAGCGCGTTGGACAACCCAGGTGACGGCAATTCCGTGATCAGCGACCATCTTGCGTGGCGGCGGTCAGCGCCAACCAGGGTCGGCCAAACCCTTTGGCTGGCCTGGGTGTGAGAGCCGTGCAGAGCCGACGCATCCTTCACGGCGAACGTTCGGGGATATGGGCCTGGGGGGGGGAGTGCATCGATTCCGAATCACTCATTCATCGCCGATAGGGGCCTGATGGCCCACCCGCCCAGCAATGTGCGGTTTTGCTATCGGGGGCCGATCGCCGATCTATCGGCGATGTCTCGCCGATTCCTGCCCGATGCTCCCCTTCCTGAGCCGACCCCGTCACTGCAGCATGCAGCCTGCCGCGGCACGCGCGGCGGCCTGAGGCGCGGCCTCCCGCCCGCGGCGACGCGGCGGGCGCGCGCGCGCGGGGCACGCGCCATGCGCCCCTTGCCGGCCCCATTCCGAGGCCAGCGCCCGCCCGCGGCGCCGGCTGCAGGGCCGCGGGCGGCCGCGCGGCGCTGGGGCTCCGCCGCCGGCCGCGCCGCGCCCTCGCGGGGCGGCGACCTCCAGCGGCCGGGCTGCGCCGCCGGCGGGGCGGGGCTCGCGCTGTGCGTGGCAGTGCCCGCCCTGCGCCGGGGGGGGCAGCGCCGGCCGCGAGGCTCTGGCGGCTCCGCCCGCGCCGGGGGCGCGGGGGCTGAGGCCGCGGCCGTGGGTTGGCGGGTCGGACGGAGGGGGTCAGCGGGGATCCGCGGTTGCGACGGGCAGACGGCAGTGGTGCAGTGGCAGCACGGGCCGTGGCCGTTGAGCCTCCAGAGTGCGTGCGCCGCTGGCATCCTGGTGCGGTTCGCGCGCCAGGGTGCGCGCGGGGGCGTGCCCCCTTCTGACGCAAGCGAAACGAAGCGAGGGGGTGGGGATGGAGAAAGCGGTTGGGTCGGAACCTGCTGCAAGCAGCTGGCTTCGGCCCCAGCGCTTTCCTCGACGCATCGGCGCCAGAGGCGCGGGGAGGCGCCGGGAAAACCAGCTACATGAGCTGACTCGCGCCCCCCCTGCTATCCCCCCCTTTCGTCTGACCCGAGGTTGGCGGCGCGCTCACAAGGGTGGCGCAAGGGGGGAGGCGTTCGAGCAGGTTTTTGGACGTTCGTGGGAACCTGGAGGTTTTTCCCGCTTCGAGATGCGTTCCAGCAGCTGCGCCTCTGCGGGAGCGTCCCAGGGGTGCCCGAAGCGTGCCATACGGCCGCTGTAGGACCGAGTTACGACCCGAAAGTCTGGCTCTATTTCGATCCGATCGATCCGATTCGATGTGTTCTAGGCAGGGGCCGTCTCAGAAGCGACCAGAGGTTTCTAAGGAGGCTTGCGAGAAGCTGGGAGGGCATCTGAGGAGCCACCTGCGCGACGCAAAAAAACGGGCTCGTCTTCGCCGACGTTGGCGCGTAAGCTGCCCGCGTAAGGCCATCGATCCGATCCGATATCGACTCTGGCTGGTTCGACCGATATCGATTCCGTTGTTCCGACGATGCGATGCGGCCCGATGCCCGTGTGGCGTTGTTGTGCATCCTGGCGCGGTCGATCCGATTCGATTCCGACTCTACGCCGATGCAGCCTGATCTAGCGCACATTCCGGTTCAAAAGTCCTGGTGGGGCGGTCTTCAGGGCAGCCTTCATTTGTCCCACAGGGCCTCGGGCCCCAGGGACCTCGAGTTGGCGCGAATCTGGGAACTCGTTGGGCCTGGAGCACCTTAGACCCCTCCCCTGTACACTCAGGACGTTGAAATAAAGACCGTCCGTTTTGGGCCCCGGTTTGGGGGCTCTGGTTTGCGGGCCGTTCCTTAGAAGTTAGGGCGTGGGTCTATTCGTGGCCGAGGCTCGCCGTGGCCAGAATGGCCCCTGCGTTCCTGGTTCCGCGCTCCTTCTGGCAGCACGATGGCCGTATTGCCCCTGCCTCCCTGGAAGCCAATTGGCCTTTCTGGGAAGCCCCCGTGCCTTCCAAGAGAAGGCCGCCTCCCCTCGCCGCCACCCCCTTTTTTGCGCTGGCCCGACCACCTCCTCGGTATAATGGAGCGGGCGCGACCCCGGCTTTGGACTATCGAAAACGCTCGCAGCAAATCGCCGCTGGCCTCTGCCCTCGTGGAGTCGCAAGGCGTCTATTGCCGATGAGCGCGTTCGCCTATGATTGACAGCCGATTCCCCGAAGTGTTGTCGGGAATGTTGGGGGAGCACATATGGGGTCCAGAGTGAAAGACTGTCTTTGGGCGTCCTTTGGGGCCATTTTGGCGCCCTCTTGGGCCATCTTGAGGCGCGCTTGGGCCATCAGCAGGCTCTCAACGCCGTCTTTAGGGTCTCCTGGGGCAATCCTGGAGCCCTCTGCCGTCTTGGGGGTCGCTCTTGGGACCCTCTTGGGACCCTCTTGGGGCCCTTTGGTCCTCCTTGGGCCTCCGGGGCCGCCTCCGGCATTCTCGGCCAGAACCTCTTTGGGGGCCTCTGGAGGCAACCAGAGGGACTTCCGGGGGCCGGGGGGGGGGGGCCCAGAGATTTCAAGGGGGGCTCGCGGCCAGAGGCTTCCGCGCTGCGCAGAAAGGAGGCACGGGGAGGAGCGGGCGGACTGGGCGAGGGGAGGGAGGGAAGGAGAGGGCGCCCCTCCCCACCCCCACCCCTCCTCGTCCCTCTCCGTCTACTCCCCCTCGCTTCCCCCTCCACCTCGTTCCTTCCCCTCCTTATTATCCTCCTCCCCTGCCTTCCGCTCCCCCTCCCCTCTCCCCTCTCTCCGCCCTCATCCTCATCCCTGCTCCACCCCTCCCCTTCCCCTGGGGAGGGGAGGGGAAACAGAGGCCAGCCCCCTCGACACCGCGCTTGCCGGCACGTACGTCATCGTGAACGCGGGCCGCACAATCGTCGGGAGCAGTGCAGAGCTCCGGTCCACCCAGCTCGGCGAGCTACGCCGAGGTGACAGGGTCGAGGTCGTCGGCCTCCAGACCCTCGAGGAGGAGCGCCGGGTGCGGGCGATGATCCAGTACGGTGCCCGGTGCACGGGCGGATTCGTGGAAAGGCCGAGGCCACCAGCAGCGCGCAAGGGCGTTCTCTACGGGGCTTCGCCCTCGAGGGGTGTCTGCGGCGGAAGGCTGGCAGAAGTCGGCCTCCTCCTCCTCCTCCTCCTCCTCCTCCTCCTCCTCCTCCTCCTCCTCTCTTGTTGTTCATCCTCTTCTCCTTTTTCCTCCTCTCTCCTCCCTCGTTGTCCCTCCTCTTTGATTTTCCTCGTGCATGCATGTATATACGTACGTACGTTTGTATGTTTGTACGTTTGTATGTTTGTATGTTTGTATGTATGGGTGTGTGCATGTATGTATGTATGTATGTATGTATGTATGCATGCATGCATGCATGCATGCATGCATGCATGCATGCATGTATGTATGTATGTATGTATGTATGTATGTATGTATGTATGTATGTATGTATGTATGTATGTATGTATGTATGTATGCCTGTCTGTCTGTCTGTCTGTCTGTATGTATGTATGTATGTATGTATGTATGTATGTATGTATATGCTACTGGAGAAAACCTCGATCATAATATTTTTAGGGCGTTAGGCCTATAAGGTTATAGGGCTAGAAGGCTATTGGGGCTATAGGGCTACAGGGCCATAGGGCTATAGGGCTAACTATTGGGCTATAGGGTTACGGGGCTGTAGGGCTATAGGGCTATAGGGTTATAGGGCTATAGGGCTATAAGGCTATAAGGCTATAGGGCTATTAGCGCTATAGGGCTCTAGGGCTATAGGGCTATACAGAGCTACCGGGCACCTGGGCGCCCGGGCACCTGGGCACCCAGGCACCCGGGCATACGGGCACCCGGGCACCCCCGTGCACCCTCGGGCACCCCCGGGCACCCCCGGGCACCCCCGGGCACCCGGCCGCCGGCCAACCAAATCGGCGCCGCACCTCACCTAACCATATGAATCCGCTAGGTCCCCTACAGAGGCAAGCTCTGATTGTGGAACATGTATGTATGTATGTATGCATGTATGTACGTATATATATATATATATATATATATATAGATGTATGTATGTGTGTGCATGTATGTATGTATGTATGTATGTATGTATGTATGTATGTATGTATGTATGTATGTATGTATGTTTGTATGTTTGTATGTTTGTATGTTTGTATGTAAGTGTGTACGTATGTATGTATGTATGTATGTATGTATGTATGTATGTATGTATGTATGTATGTATGTATGTATGTATGTATGTGTGCATGACACCGGAGAAAACCCCCAATCAGATTTTTGTTGGGGCTATGGGGCTGTAGGGCTATAAAGCTAAGAGGTTATGAGGCTATAGGGCTATTGGGCTATAAGGCTATAGGGCTATAGGGCTATAAGGCTGTAGAGCTATAGGGCTATAGGGCTATAAGGCTATGGGGCTATCGGGCTATAGGGCTATAGGGCTATTGGGATATTGGGCTATAGGGCTATAGGGCTATAGGGCTATGGGGCTATAAAACTATAGGGCTATAGGGCTATTGGGCTATATGCTATTGTGCTATTTGGCACCCCGGGCACTTGGGCACCCGGGCACCTGGGCCCGGCCACCGAAATCGGCCACGCACCTCACCGGCCACCCGGGCACCGCCGGGCACCGGGGCACCCGGGCACCCGGGCCCGGCCACTGAAATCGGCGACCAACCTCACCTAAACTTTTAATCCGCTAGGACCCCTACAGAGGCAAGCTCTGATTGGGGAATGTATGTATGTATGTATGTATGTATGTATGTATGTATGTATGTATACGTATGTA